CCGTGATCGCGAGGGTGAAAACTGGTAGCGATCACCGAATGGTTAGAGGCACACTGAACCTACACGTTAAGTTGGAGAGGTCTCGTCTAATGAAGTCAACGCTCCGTCCCCCTCGTGCTCTGTTCCAAAGTCCCGAAACCTTTCAGCTCGAGTTACAAAACCGTTGTCAGTGCCTAGAAGACTGCAATGAAGTGTACGATATGAATGACAAGCTCGTGGAAACTGTCCATGCGGTCGGAGCTAAGTTCTGCAAGACCCACCGCAGAAGAATACAAAAACTCTCCGATCACACTCTTAATCTCATGGCTGTTAGATGGGAGATGAAGCTACATCCTTCAACAAATTTGACAGCATACAGGCAACTGAACAGACAGATCTCCAAATGCATGCGACGGGACTTACACAACTTCAATACAGCTTGTACTGAAGAAGCGATCGAGCGGATCCAAGGCTCCAAAGTCTTTGCCAGAGATCTGTCTGCCAGAAAGAGCCAACTGTCAAGGCTGAAGACCGAGTGTGGCAGCATCGTTTCCGGGACACCTGAGATTTTGAGTGAGATTGAGAGGTTCTATGGACAGCTGTACACGTCATCGTTGGAGCCACACGCAAGTGTGAGTAGCAATCCAAGAGCGAGTCTTATCTGACACTATTCCGAAGATATCCCTGACGTCAGTCTGAGCGAGATTAGAATGGCTCTCCATCATCTTGAAAACGGCAAGGCCCTAGCGGATGGAATTACAGCGGAGCTTCTGAAAGCGGGTGGAAAACCGGAAGTGCGGTGGTCTTGTTCTTCAAGAAAGGCGACAATGCTCTCTTGAAGAACTACAGACCGATATCTCTTCTGAGCCGCGTCTATGTGCTGTTTTCGAGAGTCATTACGAATCGTCTCGCGCGCAGACTTGACGACTTTCAGCCTCCCGAACAAGCCGGTTTCCGAAAGGGCTTTAGCATCATAGACCACATACATACCCTTCGGCAAGTTGTACAGAAGTCCGAGGAGTACAATTTGCCACTATGCCTGGCGTATGTGGACTATGATAAAGCCTTTGATTCCGTCAAAATTTGGGCGGTGCTGCAGTCCCTTCAGCGGTGCCAAGTTGACTCTCGGTATATCGAAGTGCTGAAGTGCTTGTACTGTAGAGCTACGATGGCTATCCGAGTACAGAACCAGAGTACGAAACCTATCCAATTGCAGAGAGGTGTAAGACAGGGTGACGTTATATCCCCGAAACTCTTCACCGCTGCATTGGAAGACGTTTTCAAGCTTCTGGACTGGAAAGGATACGGTATTAACATCAATGGCGAGTACATCACTCACCTTCAATTTGCCGACGATATAGTCCTTATGGCAGAATCGCTGGAGGACCTAAGCACTATGCTCAATGACCTCAATAGTGTTTCCCAACGGATAGGTCTTAAGATGAACATGGACAAAACAAAGATTATGTCAAAACAAAGGTCATTTTTAATATACATTTCACACCTATGCCGGTAGTTGTTGGGAGCACTATGCTCGAAGTTGTTTCCGAGTATGTTTACCTGGGACAAATAGTCCGACTAGGTAAGTCCAACTTCGACCGAGAGGTCAATCGACGGATTCAACTCGGCTGGGCAGCGTTCGGGAAGCTACGACACATTTTCTCGTCAGACATACCTCAAAACCTTAAAACGAAATTATACAACCAGTGCGTGTTGCCAGTGATGACTTACGGAACTGAGACGTGGTCCTTCACTGCTGGCCGTATGAGGAAGCTCAAGGTTGCTCAGCGAGCTATGGAGAGGGCTGTGCTCGGAGTTTCTCTGTAACCGACATAGCCCAACGGATTAGTAAGCTGGAATGTCAGTGGGCAGGCCATACAGCTCGAAGAACCGACAACCGATGGAGAAGTAAGGTTCTTGAGTGGCAGCCTCGTACCGGTAGGCGAAATGTAGGGTGACCCCCCACGAGATGGAGTGACGACCTGTTAAGACATGCAGGAAGTCGATGGATGCAGGTGGCTCAGGACCGTGCTTTGTAGCATTCCTTGGGGGAGGCCTATGTTCAGCAGTGGACTTATGAAAGGCTGTAATGATGATAATAACGATGATGATGATGACTCAACGTGGTCCTTCCTCTTTCGAGCCGACCCATTCGGGCCTTGCAAATTAATTTCGATTATGATTTCTGTCATTTATTAATCGCTATTTGATGCTAACACTTTTTCAGGTAACCCTTGCTTTTCTTATATGAGAGGGGGCAAACGAGCTTAGGGCTCACACCTGATGGTAAGTGACAACCACCGCCCATGAATACTGCAACACCACGGAAATTGCAGATACGTTGCTGGCTTTTTAAAAAGAGTAGGTCCCTAAATCATATCGGTCCGGAAAATTTGATGGTGGTATTCGTTTCCACAAGTAGTGCAAGGAAGAAAACTTCTTCTCAATGACACAGCAGTGGACCGCCAATCATCCACATGGTAAGGATGGATTTTCGAGTTCTGTCGCGATGTGCCATGGTGAAAACGAGCGGCTGGAATTAGTCCGAGCACTTCCTGTGGTAGATAAGATAGAATACGCAAAGAGATGCAACATCTCTTCGCAGCGCCAGACAAGGCGATCAGAAAGAACTCGGTCAATTCGAACTGCTCTGCACTGGATGCGATCAAATGGAAGAAACTGGCACTGGGGAGCTCCGGCCTAGAGATGGGGACAGTATTCCATGTGTGGCCGAAACTGTGCCTTGTAAAGTTGCAGGCGGTGTGCCTGCATAAAATACTATCCCGCTCTGCCGAGCACGCCAAGCTTTTTACAGGCCAATTTGGCCTTCTCTTCCAAGTAACCACGAAATTACACGTCATTCGATATGTCCACGCCGAGGATTCTGATACTGGCTGAGGTAACAAGGGGAGTGCCCTGAAACTGAAGAGAAACTACAAAGGGATTCATTTTAGCGGTAAACGGGCAAACTTGTATGGGTCAATGTCTGGGGATTAAACTGGACTAGATTTAGTCGCCCTCAATCCGAGAATTAGTTCAACAAAATCTCGACTTCAGATACAAGTTTATTCCAGTACTCGGCGACGTTTTCCTGAAAAAATTTGCACAACCGGTGTATAAAGCATTACCAGTGCTGTCGTTCACATAGCAATGAATGTTACCAGTTTTCAACATATCATCGATAAACAGAATAAACAGCGTTGTTAATAGCATGTAGCCTTGTGGAACACTAGCGTTAATAGGCTTGTAATCGGACTATGTCTACTACGATCTTGAGTCAGAAAACTGGTGATCCAATTGCACAATTTCTCGGGAAGCCCATAAGAAGGAAGCTTTGAAAGAAGCGCTTTGTGCCAAACACGATCGAAGGCCTTCGCTATGTTTAAATTAACCTCCAAAACCTCCACCTTGGACTCGATCGCCTGCACCCATTTGTGTGTTAGGTAAACAAGAAGATCACTAGCTGAGCGACCCCGACGGAAACTGTACAGGCGGTCACTAATCAACTGGTGCTCCTCAAGGTACCGCATGAGCTGACAGTGTATAATGGACTCCATTATTTTCGATAACAAGGACGTGATTACGATAGGCCTGTAGTTGGATGGATCAGAGTGGTTACCCCTTTTAGGGATCGGGTGCAAGAACGCAATGTTGAATGAATGCAAGACAACGCCTAAGGAATAGAAATACCGGAAAAGACACGTTAGAACCGGTGCCAACACTGGAGTGCACGTCCTCAGCACAAGTGGCGGGATTCCGTCACTCGACTTGTGGATGTCCAGGGAGAGAAGTGCTTTGCGTACCAAGTACTGTGTGTATCGCTCATTAGGAATAGAGCACTCACACTGGGGAATGATCAGCGGTGTGTTCCCCCCGTCATTGAGAGTCGAGTTGGACGCAAAAAGAGACCCTAAAAGGTTGGCTTTCTCTTTTACGGCGTGGACCAGTAAGTCTTCCTCCCTGTGCAGAGGTGGTAGTGATGGCTTAGAGAAAATCTCTTGGACAGCCTTCTGCGAGTTACTAGAATGCACGGGTTCCCGAAGGAAGGCGAAGTAATTTCTCGCCAATTCTGCCAATGTTCTCTGCACAGCACAGCAATTCACTGGCACTGCGAAATCTCTTTGTATAATCTATCGCAACTATCACTGGGAGTGTTCAGACGAATTGTTCTTCTTATCTTAATAGTATTAAGTATAATAAATTGCTATTGCAAATTATAGCAATTTTTGTAGATATGTATTTTATTTGCTTTTCGGAAACGGTTCTAATGATTTGGATGAAATTTTATGATTATATAATATTTTGCTTTCCAAACAAGATGGAGCTCTTGGTTCGATTATGTAAACTGGAGTCTCAAGCAAAGACGCAAAATAGCCAACCTTTCGGCAGTCTATAGAATACATTTCGTAGAGTGTGCGCAGGAATGACATGATTTAATTCCTCCCTCTCCTTTACAGCATTGGACAATCAGACGTTCTGTGGCTCTCCACCGCATCGCATTCAAACTCAATTACTTTCTTTGTTGTTCATAATGCTTACAGCAAAGTGGAATAGTTTGTCACTATGTCTTCCCACCCAATTAAAGTTTGGGTGTCTACAAGGCAAGAGTGAATAGGCTTTTGTTAAGTACATAAACATTTACCATCACGTGGGATAGTAGTATATAGTAGTCAAAAATTGGCTTCACAGTCAAAAAATTTACTTTATTGTGTTCGAAACGGAAATAAATGTATAGAAATAGAGGCTAACACTTCATTATTGGAGAGGCACCAAAAGAAGGAAGAAAATTATGTTCCCTTTTCTTTTCTGCTGACTATATACACCTTACCGTAAATTGATAATACTTATTATGTATATGCATATAATTGTGGTGACGTCTATAAATACACTGGGCAATCCGACGTATTATAGTCAACTGTCCTTTCATAAGCAACGCTTGGCTTTATTGGTCAGTTCCGTGTCCGACACCAGTGCGTAAACGCGTTTTTTTAAAGTTTGTGCGTTAAAAAAAATTCGAAGAAATGTTTTGCGAGATACCGAAATTGTTGCGATGTTGCTTATGCCTTCCACTACGGAAAGGTATCCTGATATTTGGATATATAAATATTGTAAGTTTGGATCATTACGCTATTAGAATCTTCTTTTCCCTTCTTTTCATCAAACCATAATAATCCATTCTCAGTTTGTGCCTCACCTATTTTAACTAAGATTTGCCTTAATCTCTACCTTTGATGGGCGAATAAGCAATCGCAGGACTTTCTGTTTCGCAACTTTGCTAATAATTGTGTTTCTCATTGCCAGTCTGAGATTTTGCATCAAAAGGCCATGAGATCTTTTGACGTATTTCCGTAGTCGATTTAGGGCCTAGAGATATAATTAAGTGATATATTATCTTAAGGCGCAAAACTACCGCTAATTCGTTTTATGTTTTTTTAGACATAATTTTTTCTAAATAATTATTGTAATCTAAAACATGTTTGAAAATTTTCTTAAAGATATTTTACAAAGTGTTATACAACTCTTACTTTCTTTTTTAACTTTTAGACTATCGTCACATCAGAAAGTTAATAATGCCATAAAGTCTTATAATATAACTAAATACTGACTTCAAAATTAAAAAAATTACATTCATCACGCACCAGGGTTCTGAATCGGTATCAAAAAATTAAAGCCTTCAGAAGCAATTATGTATTCATTTTTTCGGTTCACTCAATTATTTCATTATCGCGCAGTATCTTCTCCAACGTACGTGCAACACTAAAATGATAGTCGCTAGACATTTAAATTCTATACATAAATGAAAATGATAAAATATGTAAAATTAACCAAGGCCAAGTCAATCTTTTTATTTAAAACATAAAATATTTTTTAGGTTAGCTAATTACGTAATAACTTGAGACAGAAGGACCCTTAAGTAGGGACTGAATAAATTAACCGACTTGGTATTACATCGATCTCACAACTTTTTACGGTAGAAGAACTGCGTTGCGAGACTTGGTTTTTAACAAGTTATGTTTTTGATGGCATTAATATATATTTTATTCGTATTTATCCGCATAATATTTGTTTACTATAATACCTAGGTATTCATATGTATTTCACACTTACGTTGGTACCCCTTGTCGCAATATATTGTATGTTAAGTAATTTATTATAAATAATTTTTATCTTGTATTTTATTTTGTAGTTTTTACCGCAACTCTGAAGTTTTATCTCACGGATGTCATCCACATCTTTTATTTAAGTTCCGCCATTACCTACCAGGTAACGTAAATAAAGATGGCAAAATCCCATCCTTGAAGCTAAACAGCCAAGTATATTATTATTCAAACGTATCCACGAATGGAATCCAAAAATTTTTCCACAAAAGGAAGTGGATATCATGTTTGAGCTTTTTTTTATAGCTCGGGTGACAAACGAGCACACAGTCCACCTGATGGTAAGTGGTTGCTGCGGCCCATAGACATCTATATTTATCCTCGTTTGCGAATCAAAATGCAGATGTGTTGTCAGCCGTGAGAACTAAGATGGAATGCCTCTTTTCCAGTAAAAATGGTCTCCGGTTCTCTACACTTACCATACGAAACACAGCAACGTTAAGCTGCTATTTTACGCTGGTATTCTGTGAGAGCATGGTCCTTCCCCGGTCGAGCCGACCTATTCTTGCTACAACTATACTACTAATATAGCTGCAGCATAGCTCTACCACGTATAAAATGGCGCTTTAACTTTGTACTCTTCAACTTTTCATGATCTAAGTCACTAAGTTATTGATTTCCTATTTACATGTCTTAAATATTTTTATTTTTATTTTATATTAAATATTTAAAATAGTGGACGGCTTCACTCAGTCTATTAATTATCCTTCCTTCCTTTCATTGTTATCAATAAATACATCCTCTATTCCATCCTATCTCCATTTTTTCTCCAATCCTTATTATTTATAAATCTTTGTTTGCTATAAAAATTGCGAGAACGGCAGAGTCGGGAAGGGATGACCTAGGCGAAAGTTTATCTACCAAATTGGCAATATATTGAAAATCGGCCAAATTAAGAGTACCCTTAACCGAGGGGCATGTATGTGTAGGTATATGGATGTAAAAGAGAGACTACAGATTTTCATTTGACACAAACCTGACCCACATCTCTATCCTACCTACGCATACATGCTTGCTGGTTAAAGGTGCTTTTAATTTGCCTTATCTACAATATATATTTATATAAGTGGTAGAGCAATGCTGCAGCTATATTATTGTTGTAGCACGATTGGGTCAGCTCGACCAAGGAAGGACCACGCTCTCACAGAGTACCAGAATGAAATAGCATTTTAATGCTGCTTGGTTTCGTGTAGTGAGTGTAGGAAACCGGAAACCCTTTTTATTGGAAACGAGGCATTCCATCTTAGTCCTCACGGATGACAACGCATCTGCATTTTGATTATTTATCGAGGATATATGTAGATGTATATAGGCCACAACATTCACTTACCATCAGGTAGACTGTGTGCTTATTTGTCAATTTTATTCTATAACAAATATTGTGAAAACATAATAAGTGTTACTTTAATATCGATCGTATAAAATAAAGAAGTGATTGCCACATCAATGCGGGATCACATCAAACGTTCGAAGAACATCTCAAACTTGAACTAAACTTGAGCCCTGACTGAGTTATGTAGACCTCAGCTAATTGATTACATTATTATATAAATCTGAGAGCATGGTGCATGAATGAGTTAATATACAGTTTACTTTATTAAAACAATTAATAAAGTGCTGCTGCTATATTAGTAGTATAGTTGTAGCACGAATGGGTCGGCTCGGCCGGGGAAAGACCACGCTCTTACAGAATACCTGCGTAAAATGGCAGCTTGACACTGCTGTGTTTCGTATGGTGAGTGTAGAGAACCGTTTTACTGAAAAAGAGGCATTCTATCTTAGTCCTCACGGATGACGATGCATCTGCATTTTGATTCTTTATTGAGGATAAATGTAGATCTCTATGGGTCACAGCAACCACTTACCATCAGGTGGGCTGTGTGCTCGTTTGTCACCCTATCCTAGAAAAAAAAGGATTTTAACTCTGTGTATTTGTTTGTATTTTTTACGAGTGCATTTCACTTTATACTTAATAGTGCATTGACCCATAAATAAAGTGGTCGTTTATACGTCTACCTATATTATTATTTTGTCTTTCTTCTTCTTTCTCATTGTACTTATTTGATGAAAATCCCGGGCTGGTATTACTGCTGGTACATATGAATTAGAAATTAAATGATTTTTGATATACTAACTTAAAATTTAACTCGTATTGTTTTATGCACATAATAAAAAAAGTCCAAAAATTTAACTTTTAGTAAAAAGTAAAATGGTCGGATTTTCAAACAATCAAAAGAATAAAATAATTTCACATACCGAACTTTCGATACATTATATCTTAGCACTCAAAAAAAATCGTAGAACCTTGGTTTGTGCGCGTTATGTGAAAGCCCCTCAGCTATCATGGCTACTTTTTATATATAGATTTTGCCTGCGGCTTTACCCGCATGGAGGGTCAATAACTACATTATTTCCATAATTCACAGCCAGTGTTTAATTCCAAGACCTAAGACGTCATAAAGAGGTAATTACAGAATTACACTCCAGATCTATCCAACGGGGACGAGATTATTTTTGGGGTAAATGGCTGATGCCACTCTGTGGTCCAAAAACTGCAAAATAAACATATTAATCAGTTGCCGCGTTGTTTCACGATTTATGGAGCTATACAAATTGGCATGGATTTGTAGAGATTTTCTTTCGGGCCAAAACGTTTTAATAAAATTTATAATATTATAAATCTATTTAACAGTGGTAGAGCCACGCGGCAGCTTTTGCTGTCGCACGGATGGGCCGGCTCGAGCCGGGGTGGTACCACGACCTTACAGAAAACCAGCGTGAAGTAGAGGTTTACCTCTGCGTTTCGCTTGGTGAGTGCAGGTGGCCGGAGGCCCTTTTTACTGGAAATGAGGCATTCCATCTTGGTCCTCACGGGTGACAGCGCATCTGCATATTGATTTGTAATAGAGGATAGATGTAGATGTCTATGGGCCACAGCAACCACTTACCATCAGGTGGACTGTGTGCTCGTTTGTCACCCTTATCCTATAAAAAAAAATTATATTTCGTTTATTGTTTCTGTTATATACCGATCGCCATTTGATGGTAGCACTCTTTTATGTAACTCTACTATGGACGGGGTGGAATATAATAGAATTAATAGAATCAGGCGTTACTTTGCGGAAATCCATTATATAAAAGCTTTTACAAAAATTTACTTCGCAAATATCCGCGTTATAAAATAAAATGATGTGTCTTACCTAGTATGAAGAGCACCTCCCGCCCTTGGTGTTGGGAGTAGCAGTGCTGGGATTGGTGGTGACGGGGATAGTACACGCAATTGAAGGAGGGCAGGAGGTGCTCTTCATACTATGTAAGACACATCATTTTATTTTATAACGCGGATATTTGCGAAGTAAATTTTTGTAAAAGCTTGAATATAATAGAATAATTCGTACTTCATATAGATCACAAGAACGAGCTACGGACAAAAGTTCTGTACTGGGAAGAACCAGCAATAAGCCCAGCAAGTCTAACACATAAATTACTGTTCTTTTTTGCAGATATTTTCGGCGTTCATGGTTGGGTTGTACAGTTACTCTGTCCACCATGACATGGGTCTCAAAATGGTGTACCACGGTTCGAAAAGCAAGCTGGAAGATGCAGTGTGCGTTGGCATCTATTGCGCAGAGATCGTAATGAACGTGTCGCTGGTTTACGGAGCCCATGTGGTAATTTATGATTTGTATGAGGTCTACATTACCGTGTGGTGTCGGTGTGAAATATCCACTACCCTGTGGCTGTCGTAAGAGGCGAAAGCGGTAAAAACAGGAGATGGACAGCAGTCTTCCTGATAACGACTAAAATAAAAGATAAAACTGCGGTTGTCAACCTGCTTGCTATGCGTGACAACTATGGTAAATATTCTGCCTATGAGGCAAACTATGGGGGAGGCCTATGTTCATCAGTGGACTTTAATAGTTTGTAACGATAACGATGAAGTCTACTATTTCTCAGTTAAGAAGACTGTAACAAATTGCCTTTATAATTGCTTAAAGAAATTCATTAAATAATAAATACAGTTTTGTTTTATTATAGGTAAATAACAAAATATAAAAAAAAATTATACAGACAAAGCGACAATATCCTTAAAATTCTCATTCAATTCATTTTTATTATCATCATCAACAACCTGGAGAAGTTCACTGTTGGAGATGTATGCTTTGTGGGGGCTTTGCTTTAATCGTCATCAAGATGCAATCTATCGAATACCATGAGATAATTTTGGCATTCTCCATAGTCATCCCTTACAATACTCATGAAAAGAATAGGTTGATAGATTCACCACTGTCACCACACGGCGATTTTGTTTCATTAGACGATTTAAAAACTTTTTGTTCAAAAAGAGCAAGTAAGCAAGTAGCATATCGACCTACGGCAATACAATTGCCAATCCAAAAATTATTATTTCCATCCAAAAAGGCAAAACGTCTCTTCTTCTCTCTTCAATGAAGAAGCTCATTCCAGCAATGGATTGCTACAGCCTGAGGAAAAATAAGACAATAATAAATAAAAGACTAAGATAACTAATGTGATTTTTCTCAACAGCCTGGGGAAGTTTACTACTGGAGGTGGGATGCTTTGGAGGAATTACCTTAATCGTCACTCTTGGCAAACCTCTTCCTGCGAGGCTGATCCTCATCACCGATCTGACTATTTTAGTAATCTGCTGTAAGCTAGATGTTTATGGCGCCATCTATCGGATGTCGTGAGATCTTTTTGCCATTTTGCATAGTCTCCTCTTACGGTCACTATTAATTAATTATATTTATCACATAAAATTTGATAATCTGATGGGTAGGTCATTTATTCGCACGTTGTTAACGGAAATAATCCTCACATTATAACGCTCCTTTGTTCTAAATCTCTGGCGTCCCCATTAAAAACTATAACTTTAGCCAGGCTTGAGTTAAGTGCCTTAGTTTTGCTCGCTAAGTGAGCACGAAACGTTTGTCGTTGAGGTATCCGATTGACTATATTTACGCATTTTTAGATTCATCGCCATCTTCATAGTCATTGTCATCATTATGGTCATCGTCACGGTCATCGTCATCGTCATGGTCATCATCACGGTCATCGTCATCATCATGGTCACTTTCATTGCATTGTTTTCGTCATGGTCATCGACATAGTCATTGTCATCGTTATGGTCATCGTCACGGTCATCGTCATCGTCATGGTCATCATCACGGTCATCGTCATCATCATGGTCACTTTCATTGTCGTCGTCATAGTCATGAACATTGTCTACTTTATCAACATTAATGATTCTCGATTACCACTTTTTAAATGGAATCATCTTTATTCAATATACATTACAAGAATACTTATCGTAAGTGATTTAAGCTTTACCACTGGTTCGGAAAAAACTTTTGTCCTTAGAAAAACAAGCAAGAAACCCAGCGGGACTTTTTTTTAAACTTTAACTTACAATATAATATAATATATACATACACGGGTAGTCTTCAAAGAGTAGCCAAATTTTAAACTTAAGTTCAAATATATAAATCATGATAGATCCTTCCCTCTCGGACAGCTGTACTGATCAGTCGTGTTTGTAGTGGATCCTCGCGCAATCGTATTTCAAATATAAATAAACTGCAACCGTAATTTACACCTTACAGCTTTGGACATTACTTCCTAAGTGTAATTAACCAATATTTGTGTTATTCAAAATATAAATCAGGTGTCTCACTAGATTGGACGGTAAAGTGATTAGTATCGAAAGTGTCGCGAGGCGCCCAGCTAACAAGACCCCTGTACGCGACAAGCGGAAGCTATCATAGACTTCTTGAACTTCGACATTTTGAACGTAATAACTCTTCGGTAAAGACATACTTTTGACTACACTATGCTTCGGTCGCCTCCATTGAACAAGTCGGTGTCAACCTCTGAGCCTAACATTTTTAATATTGTGGACCAAGAAGCCGATGATAATAAACAATTTCACATCTATCAGAGATAAGCGACGGCGAATATCGGACGAAACCTATAATAATCTCACGGCCTTCAAAATGGAGATGCGAAGCTTATTTGAATCTTTTCAAGAAACGCAAAATAAAAAAATTGATATCATGTGCAAAAATATGAAAATGGTTATGTCTCAGACCTCAACCATAAAAAACACCAACCAGGACATTGAAAAGTCTCTCGACTTTATGACAAATGAACTGAAAAATCTACAGATTAAAATAGAGGGATTAGAGGGACAAAGAAAGGAAGCGGTATCCCAAATCATTAGGTTTGAAGAAAAATGCGAGCTGTTGGAAATATCACTCAAAAAGACTTGCATTGAAATCAAATTTGTTCCCCGAGTAGAAAACGAAAACAAAGAAACTCTTTTCAACTATATCCAGCACCTTGCCCAAAATTTGGAAACTACCCTGCACCCATCTGAATTGCGCGACGTGTATCGCATACCTAATAAAAAAGATCCCTCAAAATCTGTTGTTGTCATGGAGTTAGCCAAAACCTTGACAAAACATAAATTTCTCAGCTCAACTAGAAAGTTTAACAAGACCCGAAAATTAAACGTCAGCCATTTGGGCATCAAAAGCAATACGTCGCCAATATTTCTCTCAGAGACTCTCACCGCGAATGCCAGGAGATTGCACTTTCTTGCTAGAGAATTTGCCAGACAAGAAAACTACCAATTCTGCTGGACTTCCAACGAAAATATCTATCTCAAGAAACAAGAAGGATCTCCTTACATCTTGGTTAAAAACGAATCCCAACTTTGCTGCATGCCACCAAAATTGTGAGTTATTTATAACATTGGTCAAATACTACTACTTTTTAAAAGAATATACTTAGTTTTTATTGTCCAAACAAAATGCAGGCACATTACTTTTCAAATTAATTTTACAAAAAGTAATGATTTACTTGTGTACAAATAGGACCCTTAATCTGAGGTTAATTATATCAAACGATTATTTAAGTTCCTTCCTAACAAAACATCTTACCATAATATCTTACTACACAATAATTAACATTCTGATTTCCTCAATAATAATATTGTGCTGCATTACCTTAATGAATGCCTTTTTATTTAAATTAAAACTAAACAATAGCACACCGAATTATTATATACCCAGACTATTTTCACAAATTAATACATTCACTATAATGCCTCAATTACTAAACTGTATCCATGCATCTTTAAAGAATCACCTAGAATATACAATACATCTTTATTTCACTAAGAAATCTAATTATAAAATTCCCAACAGAGCTAATATTTTTCCATTACTGTGCATAGGGACTTATACAATATCGTCATGTACATCACAAAATAACAAAGACAATATCTCGTTTTACGACTATGAATTATTTTACTTTTACTTTTTAGTACTTGTTAATCAAAGCAACAATCATGGATAGTCGAATAAATATAATAAATGAGATTGACAGCACTAATCTTACAAGTAGCGTCGAATTATATGATCCTAAGCAGTGTAAGTTCCACTTGCTAGGAACCGATGTTAAAAAACTCACTCTACTATCACAAAATATCCGTAGCATTAATAAAAATTTTAGTAACTTAGAAATATTATTGAACCGCTTACAATTTAAACCCGACATTATTGTAGTCACGGAATGCAGAATAAATGAATTTTCAAATGAAATACGCTTAGATGACTATAAATGCTTTCACTCTAAATCTTACATAAATCAATGTGACGGTATAGTGATTTATTCAAGGCCCAATCTCAACATTGATATTGTGGAACCACCATTCCGAGATGCTAACTGTTTAGTGCTGCAAATCGAGCAGATGTATTCTGTGATAACCATCTATCGTTCCCCATCAGCTACGAATATCAACAACTTTCTTTCCTCACTAGAATCAATCAACATTGTGTTCTTTTAATAAACCTTATTCTATACTGCTGGGAGATATTAACATTAACCTTATTAAGGAAACCTCAAATGAGGACTTAGATGAATACCAGAGTATCTTAGTGCATTATGGTTATATACCTGGTCGCAATTTTCCAACAAGAGGTCCAAATTGTCTTGACCACTGCATGGTAAAGTCATCTCTAGACACTACTACAGTTGTATGCCACGCGGCCTTAACCGATCACAGCGCAGTATTGTGCAGCATAGGAATGCATTCTCTTAATGACAATGTTAGTACAAAAAAACATCAAAATAAACTATGATGATCTTCGTGAAACATTAAAAAATGCCGATTGGACTGAACTTTATAAAATAACGGACACAAAAGATGCAGTAAATTACTTCTTAAATACCATTAATACTGCCGTTGACAAACACAAGACCAAAACAAAAATACGTACTCGTGATGTCGTCTATAAAAAGTGGATGACGCCGGGACTACTTAAATGCATTCGACGACGTGATGCACTTCATACGAAAGTCAGAAAGTTCTCTAATGACATAAGTGCGCAAAATGAATACAAATTATATAGGAATTACTGTGGAGACATATTACAGAAGGTTAAAATTAATTATAAAAAGAAGATGCTACTTGAAAATAAAAAAAAATATCAAAAAGACATGGAAAACGGTAAAAGATATATGTAGTATTAAATGTGCTAAAAACTCTAACGAAGAACTGCTTAAAATTGAGTCTAATCAGTTAGAATCTCTCAATAAAGTGAATAGCTACTTCAGCTCCGTAGGGGAAAATCTTGCTAATAGTATGCTTGAAAGATCCGGTCAAACAGAATCTAAACTAGCTCATGAACGGATTTCCGGCCTATTTCAGAAACCTGTTCTTCTTTATTCGTTTGCCCAACAGATGAAATTGAAATTGTAAAGTTAATAGGATCACTTAAATCTAGCTCTGCTATAGGACATATTCCTTGAGTAATAATATTTTAAAAGAGATTAAATATATTTTAGCCAATCCAATCGCCCATATATGTAATCTGAGCATTTCTACCGGTACTGTTCCTCCTGAACTTAAAGTTGCAAATGTGATTCCTATTTACAAAGCTGGCCAATCTACAGAGCTGGCAAATTATAGGTCTATCTCATTATTGGGTACTCTCTCTAAAATAATTGAGAAAGTGGTCAATGTGAGGCTGCTTAAATACTTTGAGTCAAATGGATTACTGGCCAAGAACCAGTATGGCTTTCGCTCAGGTAAATCCACAGAGGATGCTGTCAGCAATCTTGTTAACTTCACCATTGGTAAGATCAATGATTATCAAAAGTGTGTCGGTGTCTTCTTGGATTTTGCGAAGGCTTTTGATACGGTTTCTCGGCCAATACTCTTAAAAAAACTTGAGATACTTGGATTGAGAGGGATATCTCTGGACTGGTTTCGCTCGTATCTCTCTGATCGGAACCAAAGAGTGTCCATTGGAGACTCCTTCAGTGACTATGCATAGATCAAGTTTGGCGTGTCGCAGGGAAGCGTCCTTGGCCCTACGCTGTTTTTGGTTTATATAAATGACTTGTGCTCCACAAAATTAACAAATGCAAGAATCTTCACTTTTGCAGACGACACTGCAATAATTTTTATGCCAACTCGTGGAACCAGCTACGTTCCATTTCACGGGAAGGATTAAATGATGTGAGTGAGTGGCTTCAACAAAATTTACTCCATGCGAACATTAATAAAACCA